GCACGTCGCGACCATCCCAAATCCCAACACCAGTCTCTGCAGGCTCAAAGAAAAAAGACTCCAAAGCTGACTCTCCAGACTCTAGCGGTTCGCAAAGCCCTAAAAGACATTCTGGATCTTACCTGGTAACGTCCGTTTGAAAGGAATTGATGAATTTAAAATAAATTTATCGGATGTATTATTTTTAATTGTGATGTACATTGTTAAAGACATAAATATAAAAAAAAAGTATGTAAATAGCTGATTTGTCTGAAGGTTTTTCAGGAAGCCATAATTCAAAAAACAGTTTGTCACTGATTTACTGTAAGATACACACCCAGCATTATGAAAGACGCCAGTGGGAATCCTGTTTGACAGTGATGGGGAATATCTGATCTTGTTTTCACTCCCAGATTATATCTCCTATACAGTTACTGGTGATACAAAGATCCCTCCCTATTTTAATTCAGTTTCTCTGATATGGTTTAGGAAACAATGACCTAGTCATATCAGGGGAAAAAAACTTTTATTTATACTGAAAACCATATTGTTTCAATCATTGTAGAATCATTTAGCTGTGTAAGTAATCACGTAGCTGTGAAATTCACAGCAATGTGGCACCTACTGAAACCAGTACCGTCCCCTACCCTTGGTCTACCTCTCTGCATGACAAAGGACAGTTCATTTTCTGAAGTGATGTTGATCCCATGATGTGCATAGGTTTGGTGGCAGTTGTGTTCACACAATATTGTGTTCTAAAAGAAATGGAAATCAGTATAACGGTTATACCCTGTCAAATATTCATTACTCTGGTCTTGGTTTCATCAGGAAATGGGAGATTATTTTATTTTATATTCCGGCTATGCTGTTGTTTGTTGTATATTCTGGTATTTGAGGTAAGATGGCTGCTCTTTTATGAATTAGACCACGTCTGAACATGACCGAAATGAACATTTCTTAGTAAATTATTACTGTATGTAAATTCATGTGTTTTTATTGTGAATTGTAAAAATTTAATATGGCATGCATTTTTTTCTTTTCTCTGTGGGTTGGTCAGAAGGATAAACGTGGCGTTAGGAGAGTTGGATTTTATTTATTTGAATGTTTTTTGTTTTTTTCTTTTGGCAGGATGCGTCTGACACTGTAACTTGCAATCCACTTCAACAAAGTGTAGATCTTAAAATTGGGAAATATTTTCCTGTGACCTAGCTGGGAGAGCACCTTTAAAACAGAATTACTCATCCTTTGTACAATATTATAGCTTTCTTTTGTGCTGTAGCAGAGCCTCTGGTGGTGATAATATTGTGCTGCTATTACAAGGCAGTCCCAATATTTCACTGTGTGGTCAACACAAGTTAATGTATTTGTTTCCGTCTGAAATTGCTAGCACTCTGAGACTTGACATACGTGTGTGATTCTAGTTTCCGGCCACAGTAACCCGAGTCCTGTAAAACAACTATTTCTGATATTAAGCAGTGGGTTACAATAATACGAAGTCATGTGTAGTATTAACAACAAGGGTAAAAGTATCAAGAATTTGTAAAAGCAAAATGGGATTAAAAGAAAACAATTACTATTATCCATACAAATGAATGGTTTTGGACATATTTAATTTAAATACTAACTTTTTTTTCTGCCAGAGCAGTTTTACCTGAGACTGGCAAGAATAATTTTACGAGTTTTGCAATAAAAATTTCAAATAATTCATATTGTGTTTTGTGGTGTGTTTTTCTGTTACCCTTTAACCCCCCTTAGCGATTGAAGTTTCCCCATTTTCTGCACCATTGCTTCCACTGTCATTTCATGCTTTTTTTGTGTATGTGTTTGTGTGTATATGTGTGTACACACACAAACATACGTAGTGGGGCTAAAACTAAAAATCTTAATATATTTTTTTTTCTCTTGTTTGACATGCCTAGTTATAGGTCAACTAGTAAAATGTTTTGAAAGCTAAAAGCCAGCAAAATATGGTATGTTAGGACTGTGAGTTTAATAGTCACCAAATCTAAAACTGCAGTGCAAAAATATATATTCATTAAAAAAAAAAGTTGAACCAAATTCTGCTAAAGCTTCTAGTTAAATTCTTTGAGGATTTTCACTTATAAGTGCAGACTTTTGGAGTTTCACTGTGACACACACACACTCACTCTCTCTCACTCACTGTCTCTGTCTCTCTCACTCTACATCTCGCGTACCTTCCACCCGGGCTGTTTAAAAAAATGTAAACTTTTTTTTTTTACTTTTTATTACCATTCTTTGTCGCATTTAGCAATAGCTCTCCCCATAAAAAAAAAAACACATTGTATCATTGCACTTATGAATTGCACCAAACAGTTTAGAGACATGTCTGTTTGTGAAACTACTTAAACTCCCAGCTATATCTCCTCCTTGTTCGCCTAAAACAGTATAGTCATTTTTATTTTTGTGTATATTGCAGTAAAAAAAATCTTGTTCATAAAGCCTTGCTCACCCTCATTTGTACTGTAGTTCTGATTACCAGCCTGTAGAAGAATTAATTTCTCTGCAAGAAGCCACTAGTTACTGATGTAATGAATGCAAACATGCTGAAAATGCTCAGTCCCTGCTTCCAAACAGTGCAAGAAGTTTAATTAGGTCATATCATTTCTACTTTCATGGAGAGGACCGAGTGAATGGACTCAACCATTTCACTGCTAGCATTACATTAGCAGTCCAGAAATTGATATGGCAGGTGGTATAGCACATTCAAAATCCTTTAAGATGTTTAAGACATAATTGTATGTGGGCCTTATGTTCAAATGCAGAAAGACATTTTTACATTCTGTTGCCATTTATAGCAAGCTGTAGTGATAGTGATGACTTCAGGGTCCGTACAAATACCTATAACCGAGGTATTTCACCATTTTTTTAAATTTATTTTTGTAACATCTACATTTCAGACTACATGTGACATATTGCAAGATATAAGTAGACTATGTATTGTCTAAAACTGTTCATTTACCAAATGTTTTTTGATTAAGGATGAACAAATAAGTGAAAAATAAAAATGGTATAAATGTACTTAATTTTAACGTTTGTCTGCAAATTACTCTATACACAAAGTTGCAGTTGTGCTTATATTCTAGTTATTGATACCTTGCTTCAAATAAATGTTATGCTAATATTTTTTTTTCAATCATAACATGCTGACCAACATTAAATTCTAATGTATATCTGCGAAGAAAACAAATTATGTAATATAACTTTTAAATCTCCAATACCTACAAGCCAATTTTCCCTAAATGAGATCAAACTAAAATAAAATCTGATTTTAAATATTATTCTCCCTCTAATTCAAAGTCTAAACCCCAATTCTAACCCTAACATTTTACGAACTGTATGCCACGCCTGCGACTTTGTCTTGGCTGTAAGTTAAGTCGTCGTGATTTGTTCCGTGCCATTTACAACGCCGGTAAGTTGATTCGTGGTTATGTCAGGACTTTGTGAGACATCAAACAATAGGCCAGTACACAAGCTGCCTCTCTGCTTGTAGTATTCGCTGAGACTATTACAGTTATGCCTGCATCTGAAAGGGAATAGCCGTAACGAATTTCCTATACCAATTAATGAATTGTTCATACTGTAGGGCTTTACTGCTATATATAAAATATTTGTCCAGGAAAACAATGTATTTGGCAAGCTTGTACTTCAGAGATGTATTAGTGGAACATCCATTGAATTCAGCACATTGACCCACCAAGTTTAGACCTCTAGTATTACACCCCAAGGCTTCTTTCTAGATTTATTTAAAAAAAAATATTTTATCATCCATGTGATTATCTGAATCTTCATGTGACTTATACACCATGTGATATGAGGAACCCTTTAGCTCCCGTACCATGTGACATAACTCAGCCCAGTTTACAAAAAATATTAATATAAGCAAAATTAAGTACTGATTTTTGTGCCTGAACGATCATTGCTATCTGTCCTATTTCCTTACTTTGTTTAATAGCCCTTTTGCCAGCATCGTCCATGAGGAAACTGGAGCCTAACTATATGAACAGTTACACAAAACCTGTACACAGTAGGGTGCAGTGTAAACTACTTGCCAAAAGGATAAGGCAAGTAAATCACGCTGTGCCCTTCTGCCATGGATTTTCCTGTGTCTCTGTCTACTGCACAACTTCAAAGAGTAAAAAACTTGCAGCTACCCTCTTTAGCATTGCAAATTTATCACTTTATCATCATTATGGAATAACGGCTCTTGTTCATCATTTTAATGTGCATACATGGTTTGTACATTTTTCTTAAATCTACCCCCTTTTCTTCAACCTTCCCCGCTGGCCCCAGCTGCTATGGTCTCCCTTGGCCTCTCATCCCCTGAATGTCATTCTGCCTGCTGTCTTTCTCTCCCTTTTGTGAAGTGAAATGATTTAACACATGGCCGGACTGTTAGAACGGTGGACAATTCATTGATTCACAGTATGCTGCATGAACTGTAGACAATGGATTGTGCCTATCGGGGCATCTGTCAGTGACTTGCCAGCAGAAAATTGGGCTGGTTTTGTGATTTGTTTCAAACCTGTCCTAGCAGACATTTTCTGGTGAGTGCTAAGCTTCACACTCACATTTCACTGTTGGACCCCTAAACTGAAAACAACTTTTTTGGGAAATGCAAGCCTCGATGTAAGTCAGTGAGGTTAGGGGTATATTCACTAAACCCCAAACTGCATAATGTGGGCTCCATGATATTAAAGCCAGTTATTATTCTAGTAACGTTGTCTTGTTTACTGTCAATTTTGCAATTCTATTATAAATTCCCTAAGTTTTGTTGGTTTAGTAAGTGAATCCTACTTTTCTCAAGTGCTCCAACTTCTCTTCTTTTTCTACATAATTAAGTCTGTAAAGAACAGTAAGAATTTCTGATTTAACAAAAAAAAAAAAAAAACTCATTTATATCCTTTACATTTGTGGGTTAGTGGAGTGGTAACCTTTGGTTACATAGTATTCCCAAAGTTAGAGGAACACTGTTAACACTAACAATGTTCCTCTGCCCCCTCCCAGCGATGAAAGGATTAAATAAATGTTTATTCACTTAATACAGCGCCGAAATCCTTCGGCACAGTCCTCCTCGAATGTCGTCCGATTGGGGAGACATAATGCGCAAGTGGAGAGTGTATTAGGCATTCCCGGTAGGAAAGGATTGCTGATGGATGCCCTGGTGCTGGCTGCAGAGTGTGAGGACATCCAGAGTGGTTTCACTGAGTCAAACTCAGTGAAAGTGCAGGTATCGCCTCTAGAGACAGTCTTAATTCTGCAATTTAAACATTACAGTTACCCTAAACCTGCACTGATTTACATTGCACGACTAAGGGGGACGGGGACACTGAGATGAAGTGGTATAAGTGTTTATAGTGTCCCTTTAAGTATTTGGGAATGTAAAAGGTAAATGTTAGAACACAGGCAGTCAAAAGGTAGCCCTGCCCCAGCCGTACTACATCTCCCATGATACTTTGCCAGTACTGGAGTTTTATCGCTAAACACCTGGGAGGCTGCCTATTCAGTCAGCCTGACTTTAAAACAAATAACTTTGCTCACATACACAAGTATTCAGTAAAGTGAGAATTATAGTTAATTTTTAAGTTTTTGGTCCAATATAGCCAAAATTACAACAAAAAATCCAATTCCAAATTAAATTTAAAATCACACTTTACAGGGATATTAACTACGCACTGGATTTTGTCTGGACTGACAAAATAAGGTGAAAATGACTGCAATGGCAATTCTCTTATTTACTAAAGCCAAAAATGGCTGCAATTCAGTTGGCCCGAGCGAATCTGCAGCCATCACCTAGATGCCTTCGGTTCTCTGATTAAAAATCAGTGTTGCAACATTGACTTACTATACAAAGTGTAGCATATAAAAGAATCACAAAGCACCGATTTTAAAAACATTCAGACCCGAATGCATCCAGTAGGATGGACATTAGCAAATTATCATTCGCTTGCTTTTAAGAGAAGAAGAATATTAAGTACTATATACTCGTTGGCTACTAGCGCTGCAAACAAAGGTTAATTATGTGGTACCTGGTCAGCACTTGTTAGTTAGCGACCACATAAAAATATAAAAAACGTATTTACTATAAAGGGGTTTCAAAACCTACCTATGGCCCCACCTGCCATGTGACAGGCGCAATCATATCTACTACATATTTAAAAGGCCCCCTCACCTGTGAAACAGGCTGGCATAGACTCCCACCCATGGCCACTGGGTGTTAAACTTTAAAATAAGCAATCAGGGCTGGACCGGTCAAAGAAGCATGTGAGAATTAGGGGATATATCTAGCTAGACCTAATAAATTCACCCGAAAAACCTGGCAAAGGTATATGTGTGGTATGACTGTACAAATCTGGAAAGCACACACTGCGTTTGAAATTTACCATTAAAATTGAATATGCATTCTCTTATTTATTGTAGGGCTTGTTTATTTTTCCTATTTTTTTTTTTCCAGGCTACTTGCTTTAGTCCCTTCTAGCTTAAAGACATACTCCAGGCACTGATACAAGTTTCATTCATTTGATAGGTTATGACCTCATTGATATTCTGCATTATTTTTTTAATTCTTTTTGTGTGAAGCAGGTTATGACAGGCTTGCAAAGCCCCAATATGCATATCAAACAATAGAGAGCAGGACATTTGTGCTAACTTTGTGACACATATTGTACTTGCACATTTTTGTAAAAAGGTGAGAAATAAACATACGCTGTTACTTAGCCATTCTAAGTTATATGAACAATTTAGGTATTCAAGAACGAGGACCAACATTGAAATCTGCTTAAAACTTATGGTGGGAACAGGTGGTCCTGCTGCCTGGGGGTTTACAGTGAGGTACCATAAGTGTATAGCAGGAGATGGCAGGTTGTGGCTTGGGCTATAGCTGCACCTCCTTCACATCTAGTTAACTGATCTCTGGGGTCTATGGTGTCGGAGGTGGGGGGCTGCAATAGAAATTCCGAAGTGCTGAATTTCGGAATGCCGAACCAAAACAAAAATTTTCTCAATGCACATGCCTATAAGCTAGTTTAATAGCTTCTGTTAGCCACCTGGCAATCGTAGTTCTAGAAGCTTCCCTACCTTTATAGGAAACTTGAAATGTGACAAAGAGGTGATCTGAGATTCTGAATACTTGAGATTTCAGAAGATAATTTCGATTGCTCTTTTAACATCTAGAAGATGCCACTTTCTCTCTGCATCCGATGATTGTGGGTGGCAGAAAGGCAAAACAATTGGCTGGCCCAAAGATTTATTCAAAATTACTTTAGGCAAAATGGAAGGCCTGGGATGCAGTACCACCTTGTCTTGGTGGAAGATGCAAACTCAGAAGCTAAAGAAAGTGCCTGCAGTTCCCCTATTCTCTTTGCTGACATGATTGTCACTAAGAAGACGGACTTGAGTAAAAGGATTTTCAATGAAACATCCTGTAATGACTCAAATGGAGTTTTACAAAAAGCTAGGACTAATGAGAAATCCCAGGTAGGAAAAGCTGAAAGTTTAGGAGGTCGTTTCAGCAAAATTGACTTAAAATATGTGCAGATGAGGAGGTTGGATGCTAGATCACACACAAGGATGTAGCTTAACGCTGAGATCTAAACTTTTAGTGTAGACACACCAGGATCAGCTAGAACCCCATTCTGCAGTTAAGACAGAATGCCCCACACGAAAGGATCATCTGGAGGGCAACCTTTCTAAACACACCAGTGCTGGAATTTTATCCAAATCCAAAGATAAATCTTAGTCATGGGTGAGCAGACAGATGCCAGAACCACTTCACACAAATTCTCTGAAATCCTTTGCTCTCAGAGAATCATCCTTGAAGCAGCCATGCCGTCAGTTTGAACATCTCCAGTGGTCTCTATCGGAAGATCCATGTTCTCGATGATGTCTGATATTGGAAGAACCCAGTGTGAAATTGCAATACGCTCTATTTTGGAAAACCAGCTCCTGTTTGTCCAGAACCCTTGCTTTGTCCCATCTTATTTTCTGAATTACTCTTGGGATCACCATTACTAGAGGGAATACATATCCCATATTGAAGTTCCAGGTGAGGGACAGGTCATCCAGGAAGTTTGGGAAATCCTGTGTCTGGATTAAAGCAAAGCATTAGGCTTTTCTGTTTTTTTTTTGTAGCCATCAGATCTATGTCCGGTAGGCCGAATCGGAGTACCAATATCGAGAACATCTGGTGGTTCAGAGAAAGATCTGCTTGAGACCAACGTTGTCTGCTGAGGTCGTCTGCAATGACATTCTGTGTCCCTCTGATATGAGAAAGTTTACTTCAATCTGTGCCCAAGACATGATACGGTAACACAGATCTCGAAGTGATTTCACTTTTGTGCCTCCTTGATGGTTTAAATAAGCAACTGTGGTGGCGTTGTCCGATTGAATCCTTACTACTCGTTGGCAATGATAGGTTTGAAAGCTACTAGAGCATTCTTTACTGCCTTCATTTCTCTTAAGTTGGAGGAAACTGCTGTTTCTTTTGAAGTCCATTTCCCCTGAATGAACTGTGAATCCAGATGGACACCCCAACCAGTTTGAGAGGCATGTGTTGTAATGGTAATCCACATTTTTTGTTTGAATGACAGACCTCTGGAAAGGTTGTTTTTTAGTTGATTCCTTACTGCCATTGACAGGCAAATTAGTGAATCCAAATCTTCTTTTGTTCTTGACCATTCTGTTAAAATGTTCCACTGCAGTGGTCTGATTTCTGCTTTCGCCCATCCTACTACTGGGATAGCAGAAGTGAGACGACTTTGGACATTCATGGCCTGTCTGATGGTGCAAACTTCTTTTTTTCGTAAACCTGAAACTGCCTTTATGATTCTTTTCTGTTTTGGAACCCAGGAATGCCATCTGAAGGAGTAGTCCGTGATTTGTGTAGGATTATAAACCAACTGTGATCTCTTAAAAACATCCTTCTGTCTTTGAGGTCTAACAGAAGACGATGTTTTGATTCTGCCTTTCAGAACCAATCGTCCAAATAAGTCTATAATAATAATTGCCATACCTTTTAGCCATAAGGTTGCCACTGTGAAGGAAGGCACCTCTGACCCAAGGCTCAAGCCACAGATGACCAGATGTCCAGTATGTTTCATGATATGCTTTATATGTGAAGATGTACTTTATCCTAGTTTAGCTGTTTGCACGCACACACACACACACACATTTTTGTTCTTATCTGTTATGACGCTCTGCAGCTTTCAGCGAAACTTCGCAGCTGCCCTCGTCCTGCTCCCTTTTTCTTGTAATGTAGCGAGTTTCCAGTAATTGTGTGTTGTAAATATGGCTATTTCTGCATTTCTTTTGGCACGTAGCTATTTCTTCTCCACAGGAGAAGACAACCCCACTTGTGACATTACTGCCACTGGACATGAGGAAAACCAAAAATTTACACCATACTCACCGATATTTTCTTTTCCCAGATATATGCCATGGCAGCACTATGTATGGGTATAGCTCCTCCCCTTCTCAATTGGACAGGAACCACCACCTAAATAATTAATAAAAGAGACTTCCTCCCATGTTTAAAGCCACAAAACAACACAGAGTAGAAAATGGTGGGACCGTAGTGCTGCCATGGCATATATCCGGGCAAAGAAAATATCGGTGAGTATGGAGTAAATTTTCGGTTTCCCCGGATGTATCCATGGCAGCACTACGTATGGGTTATACCCAAGCCGAAAGGTAGGGAAAAATAACCAAAACGCTTAAGTCAATGCAAATTAAAACTCTTTATTGACAAATCAACTATAAGGCAGCGGAGAGGACACCTCTATCAAATTCCGTAGTAGAAGAACGAACTGCGTCCAGCTGATAGTGATAAATAAATGTCTCGAAGGGAGGACCATGTTGCTGCTGAACAAATGTGATCCGGAAAAATGTTGGCTGCAGCTGCCCATGAAGAGTCCAATGATCTGGTGGAATGAGCTCGAAGACCTGATGGAACTGGAACCCCGGAAGCTGCGTAAACCTGACTAATGGCTGAGATTATCCATCGGCCAATAGAAGTAGAAGCAGCAGCCTGACCCCTCTTGTATCTCTTTTTTTTTTTTTACACTTTTTAAAAAGGCATGCTGGTGAACTGGTAAGGAAGAGGTTTAGCAGCATGTAAACCAGGGTTCAAAACACAGCAGAGTCAGTTCCTCACACTCGTATTGTATTTTTTTACAGAGTTTTGTATCTGCAAAACAAAAAATGACTCTCAGTGCCTAATTCAAAATCCTAGACCAGTTTCTTTAAAAACTTACAAGGAAAGGTTAAAAAGGAACTTAACATGTATAGCATGGAGGAAAGACAAGACGGGGGGATATGATAGAAACATTTAAATACATAAAGGGAATCAACACAGTAAAGGAGGAGAATACATTTAAAAGAAGAAAAACTACCACAACAAGAGGACATAGTCTTAAATTAGAGGGGCAAAGGTTTAAAAATAATATCAGGAAGTATTACTTTACTGAGAGGGTAGTGGATGCATGGAATAGCCTTCCAGCTGAAGTGGTAGAGGTTAACACAGTAAAGGAGTTTAAGCATGCGTGGGATAGGCATAAGGCTATCCTAACTATAAGATAAGGCCAGGGACTAATGAAAGTATTTAGAAAATTGGGCAGACTAGATGGGCCGAATGGTTCTTATCTGCCGTCACATTCTATGTTTCTAAGGAAAGATGAACAGATTAGAGGATTTCCTTACACCAGAAGTACGGTTCAGGTATACAGACAAACAACGACCCAGATACAAACAATGCCATTTCTCTTCTTCAGATGAAGGATGAGAGAAAAAGGCTAGCAAGATGATGTCCTGATGCATATGAAATGCGGATACCACATTAGGTCTGAATGCTGGAACCATACGAAGAATAACTGTCTTCCTGAAGAATCAAAAAGGAGATTCGCAGGAAAGACCTCCAAGCTCTGAAATTCTTCTACCTGAGGTCAGTGCAACCAGAATTTAATTTGGTGTTTTATATTGGAGATTGCCTAGCGTGCTGTGATCTCCTGGTGGAATAAATCACAATCTATACGTGCGTTCTACCATCAGAAACTTCCAGCATGTGCATCGGATGCATCCTCGCCACGTGGAACGCGTTCCAACACTCGGGGAAAGAGAGAAGCAGCAGGCCCACCATAAGAGCTTTCCTTTCCCGATAGAGAGGAAGCCCCCTCAGTTGCCTCTTATCGCACCTGAAAAAACTAATGCCCACCTACCCTTCAGAAGGCAGGTTTGTGTATGAGTGAGACTAAGAGGGGAGGAGTATTGGGAAGGGATTAACTAAATCTATCTAGTTTCCTGTCGAGATGGTGGATATCCCTGTTCTTCTGCACTGCCTGTAATCTGGAGGTAAAAAAAAAAAAAATCAGTTGTGAAATTAGCTGATTTAGAAAAATTATCTAATTTTACTATAGGCACAACTTCGCTAATTTAGTATGTATTTTTCAATTAAACACTACAGTTCTTTAGCAAGGAGGTTTGACATGGAATAGCAATAGAGGCAAGCTGGGAAAAGGTGTAGATTTTTCAAATTCAACTAATTTGGCCAAGAATGTTTAATTCCTTTCTCAGTATTCCACATCTCCCAGATCAGTGGTAAAATGAATGCATGTAACTGTATGTGTGTGTGAGTGTGATGGCAGTAAGTGTAGGTGAGTGTCCAAGTGGATGCTCATATGTGTGAAATCAGAAATGCATTATATGGAGTTCAGTGAGGTATGGGAATGTTTTGGTATGTAATGTGTCTAATTGTAAAAGTAGAGCTGCAGTTATATCAGGACCCTGAGATATATTGTAGTTATAAAACCAGGACCCTGAGATATATTGTAGTTATAATACCAGGACCCTGAGATATATTGTAGTTGTAATACCAAGACCCTGAGATATATTGTAGTTATAATACCAGGATCCTGAGGTATATTGTAGTTATAAAACCAGGACCCTGAGATATAGTGTAGTTATAATACCAGGACCCGGAGATATATTGTAGTTATAAAACCAGGACCCGGAGATATAGTGTAGTTATAATACCAGGACCCTGAGATATATTGTAGTTATAAAACCAGGACCCTGAGATATAGTGTAGTTATAATACCAGGACCCTGAGATATATTGTAGTTATAATACCAGGACCCTGAGATATAGTGTAGTTATAGTACCAGGCCCCGGAGATATATTGTAGTTATAATACCAGGACCCTGAGATATAGTGTAGTTATAGTACCAGGACCAGGAGATATATTGTAGTTATAGTACCAGGACTCTGAGATATATTGTAGTTATAATACCAGGACCCTGAGATATATTGTAGTTATAGTACCAGGACCCTGAGATATATTGTAGTTATAAAACCAGGACC